ATTACTAAACTTTTCAACTACCACAAAGTTCTTCCTATGAATACAGGTAAAATATTTCCTTTTTACGTTAAATAGCCAAGAAAACAATCTTACTACTTTTTGATGATTTAAGATTTTTTTTTAACTGAAAAAATTTCTTTCTTGATAGGAGTGGAGGCTGGAGAGACCGCTTGCAAACTTGCTCGTAGGTGGGGATATACTGTTAAGGGTATCCCAAAGTACAAAGCAAAGATTGTTTTTGCAGGTATGTGAAATTCAACATTAGCCTTTGTGATGTCATCATACGATGTCATATTTCAATTTACTGATGGACTATTTCCGGTGTGTTTGCCTCCTCTGCTATATATTATTTGCTAAATGTTTCATAAAAATTGAGAGATTTCCTCTTTTGGGGTTATTTCCAATATTTCTACATAAATGGGATTTTTCTCTGCTAAGTAACTCCCTACTCCTCACTCCCTAAAATGAATGACTGTATGATTTATTTATCATCTGTTTATTGGATTTTTTTCCTAGCAGGTTTCTCATTAAGTAGATGGTCTTTACCAGTAGAGCATTTTTTAAAAAATTTTTTTAATTTTTATTTTTTTTTAAGATTTTATTTATTTATTTGAGAGAGAGAGAATGAGAGATAGAGAGCACGAGAGGGAAGAGGGTCAGAGTGAGAAGCAGACTCCCTGCTGAGCAGGGAGCCCGATGCGGGACTGGATCCCGGGACTCCAGGATCATGACCTGAACCGAAGGCAGTCGCTTAACCAACTGAGCCACCCAGGCGGGTTGTTGAGGTTGGGTTGTGTTAGAATGGGGCCCGTGTCCTCGGTGTGATATGGAGTTTGAATCTTAGTATTTGATGTGTTATTGTATCATGTTCTCAGAAACTGTTGCAAGAGGAGGGCTGGAGTTGCCCTGGATAGGTTTCTGGGAATGGTTGAGAGGAATGACTTGGATACTGATTCGGGAGACGAACAGTTACTTCAGATGATGGAATCTGACCTTTGTCCTCCGTACCCACCCTGTATTGGCATCTTATTTATTTAAATTTTGCTTTTATTTTTTGACATACCAAAAGATGTATGTAATTGATGTAGACAACTTGCTGAGCTCGGAGATAGGTGTTCACCCATGAAACCACCATGACAATCTATGCCGCTACCCTTTCCCCCACCTCCAAACGTTTCCTTTGTTCTCTTATTTATTATTACTAGTTGTACTTTTTATTCGTTTTTTTAATTGAAGTATAATTACCATACAGTGTCCTAGTAGTTGCAGGTATACAATGTAGTGATTCAGCAATTCTGTACATTCCTCTGCGCATTGTGATAAGTGTGCTCTTGATGCCCTTTATTTCACCCATACCCCCACCCACCTCCTCTCTGGGAGCCACAAGTTTGTCCTCTGCATGATATAATCTGACTCTTGGAATCTTTCTAATGATGTTCAGTTGATGGGTTCTGCCTTTTTAATAAAGTTTTGATTTTAATTTTTAAAAACATAAAGTATGGATAAATTTGTCATTGCACATGGTCAAAATGCATTCTTTCAGTAGTTGAAATTGTTAAATATGCTGATGGCCAGGTGTAGTTGGTATTTGGGGGTGACAAATTAACTATTCGCAAAGAAGAAATCTTTGCTCAGCTCTGTGACCTGCCATTTTAGAATCTTGTGCCTTAGTAGTAGGACGGCATAACATAACTGTTTTCTTGCAAACAAAAATGGCATTTCTGGTGATTTTCATTCTTACAGACTGTATTAGTCTCTTACATATTAGCCAAACGGTGCAAAGGTGTTTTCACCTGAGTATTGAAAGCAGTTGGTGAGTCAGTGGGGTAGAGACAGAGAAGACTGTTCCCGGGTGCCTGGGTGGCTCAGTCGGTTAAGCGTCTGCCTTTGGCTTGGGTCATGATCCCGGAGTCCCGGGATCGAGTCCCACATCGGGCTCCTTGCTGAGCGGGGAGCCTGCTTCTCCCTCTGACCCTCCCCCCTCTCATGTACTCTCTCTCTCTCTCATTCTCGCTCTCTCAAACAAACAAATAAATAAATCTTAAAAAAAAAAAAAAAAGAAAAAAAAAAAAAAAAGCCTGTTCCCAACTGAAATCCGCCCCCCCCCCCCCCCCCGCAGAGTAAGCCACAGAGGAGGAGACTTCCTGAGGCTGCGTGGGGGAGAGCAGTTAGGCTCCTGGGCTGACTGGTGCATTTTCTTTTCTTTCTCTCTCTCTTTTTTTTTTTAGAGAGAGTGCACTTGCTGAGGCAGGGGGAGGGGCAGAGGGAGAAGGAGAGAGAGAGAATCTTAAGCAGGCTTCATGCCCAGTGCAGAGCCCGTTGTGGGGCTCAGTCCCACAACCCTGAGATCATGACCTGAACCAAAACCAACAGTTGGACACTTAACTGACTGAGCCACCCGGGCGCCTCTGGTGCACTTTCTCTTACACAAGCCTGCTCAAAATCAATGTGCTGTGACTGGTGGACAAGGAGAGTGGGGATCACTCATAGTGAGAGATCCTTTGCAAGAGTAGTGTTTAGGGACGCTTTAAGCCAAAACGCAGTAATTCACTACTGGGTTAATTGAGTTGGTGCTCGTAGAGGCGGTAGAAAGCTATTAAAAAAAAAAAAAAGTAGGGGAACCCCCAAGCCTCTCTGTTATTCTACATTGTTTCTTTCCTTGCTTGAATGTAACCAGTTCAAATTATCTTAAGCATTTGCTTTACTCTGATTCAGGTTATGGTGTTTCTTCCCTCTAGCTTTTAAGCAAGCTCCATGAAGGCCACTCTGTCCCCAACACCAAAGACAGTGCCCCACATAGTGGGGCCTCAGATTTCTTAATGAACTAAATTAATGGGTAAAAAGATGTTTCTGAACAAAGAACAATGTTAGTCATTTAGCTCAAAAAAGATTGTAATACCAAGGAAGGCAAAATTGAAAGTGTTTAGATTGCCTGAGGATGTTTTCTGCAAATGAAATTTTATTTTATTTTAATTAATTAATTTTTAAAAAAGATTTTATATATTTATTTGACAGAGACACAGCAAGAGAGCAGGGGGAGTGGGAGAGGGAGAAGCAGGCTTCCTGCCGAGCAGGGAACCTGACGTGGGGCTCACTCCCAGGACCCTGGGATCATGACCCAAGCCAAAGGCAGACGCTTAACGACTGAGCCACCCAGGCGCCCCTGAAATTTTTTTCAAATTTTTTTATTAACATATAATGTATTATTTGTTTCAGAGGTACAGGTCTGTGATTCATCAGTCTTACACAATTCACAGCGCTCACCATAATACCTACCCTCCCCAGTGTCCATCACCCACCCCATCCCTCCCACCGACCTCCACTCCAGCAGCCCTCAGTTTGTTTCCTGAGATTAAGAGTCTCTTATAGTTTGTCTCCCTCTCTGGTTTCATCTTGTTTCATTTTTCCCTCCCTTCCCCTATAATCCTCTGTCTTGCTTCTCAAATTCCTCATATCAGTGAGATCATATGATATTTGTCTTTCTCTGATGGACTTATTTCGCTCAGCATAATACCCTCTAATTCCATCCCTGTCGTTGTAAATGGCAAGATTTCATTTTTTGATGGCTGCATAATATTCCATTATATATATATCTCACATCTTTATCCATTCATCTGCAAATGAAATTTAAAGTTCATTCTGTAGTATTGGGTGTTTAAAAGGAAAATACTAATTCTCTGTAAAGAATATTCTTTTTCTCTTATTGCTATTAATTCACTGTGTCTAGAAAAACATATGTTGAATGCCTCAGTTGTTAGGGTTTGGGATTATTGAAAGAAAAGACAAGTATTTATCCTCTGGGGCTCTAGATTACAGTCGGAGATTCAGTAGAGAAGTGCCTATAATAGCAATTGCAAGGCCAGGCCTTGGTGGTTGTGTGAGCCATGGTGTTTAATATCAGTGTTTTTTTTTTTTCTAATATCAGGTTTTATTTTAACAAATGAAAGCTCACTGGAGGCTCTGTAAAGCAAAACTTCATTTTTTAAAAAAATCAAACCAACTGAGCCACCCAGGCGCCCTAAAAAAAAATCAAACTTCTTAAGGTATTTTTTGGGGACAGTGCTTATTAAGTTTGGGGGCTTGAAATAATCTCTGTTTATTTTTCTTTTTCAGCTGGAAACTTCTGGGGGAGAACATTGTCAGCTATCTCCAGTTCCACAGACCCAAGCAGTTATGATGGTTTTGGACCATTTATGCCAGGTTTTGAAATCATTCCATATAATGATCTGCCTGCTCTTGAGGTACTGCACTTAGCCTCACAGTGCTTTAGCTCAGAGTAAATAGAAATTAAATTTGTTGAATGTATGAATTGAAAATAGATATGGGACTGTAATGAATGTCTGTCTAACATAAGTTGGGCCAAGATTTCAGACTGGTCTCTGTAATGGTCAATTAGTTTTCAGCATGGGGAAGTCAGGTGCCATGGTCTAATCCTGAGAACCAGCTACTTTCCCTTTGTATCCTGCATAAGTAACTTGGATAGTGTATGTTTAATTACTTTATTAGGTAAAATGACTCAGTTTTCAGTTAGCCTTTTAAAATTATGAGTGGAGGACTTGTAAAATAAAAAGATTCACTGAAAATGTCTTTTAAAAAGCTATGTTTTGGGGGCGCCTGGGTGGCTCAGTCAGTTAAGCATCTGTCTTCTGGCTCAGGTCATGATCCTGGGATTCTGTCCTGGGACTGAGCCCCATGTCGGGCTCCCTGCTCAGTGGGCAGTCTGCTTCTCCCTCTCCCTCTGTTGTTCCCCCTGCTTGTGCTCTCTCTCTGTCAGATGAATAAATAGAATCTTAAGAAAAAAAAAGTAAAAAGCTATGTTTTTTGGTTTTGATAGTACACTTAACTATATATTAGAAAGTAAAGGATATTGGGGAGCCTGGGTGGCTCAACTGTTAAGCGTCTGCCTTCGGCTCAGGTCATGATCCCAGGTCGAGCCCCGCATCGGGCTCCCTGCTCCGCGGGAAGCCTGCTTCTCCCTCTCCCACTCCCCCTGCTTGTGTTCTCTCTCTCATTGTGTGTCTCTCTGTCAAATAAATAAATAAAATCCTTAAAAACAAAAAAGTAAAAAGCTATGTTTTTTAGTTTTTATAGTACATTTAACTATGTATTAGAAAATAAAGGATATTGGGGAGCCTGGGTGGCTCAGTCAGTTGAGCATCTGCCTTCGTCTGCCTTCGGTTCAGGTCGTGATCCCAGGGTGCTGGGATCGAGTCCCCCATCGGGCTCTCTGCTCACTGGAGAGCCTGCTTCTCTCTCTCCCTCTGCCTGTGCTTTGCCTACTTGTGTGCTCGCTTGCTCTCTCTGTCAAATAAATAAGTAAATAAATAAATAAATCTTAAAAAAAATATAGGCTAGAGTAGCTTAAAGCTGGAATATATGGAGCTCTTGGTAACTGGGTGTCAGAAATGTTATACTTCGTGTTTTTTTTTTTTTTTTTTAAGATTTACATCCGGGGCGCCTGGGTGGCCGAGTTGTTAAGTATGTGCCTTTGGCTCAGGTCATGATCCCAGGGTCCTGGGATCTCCCACTCCCCCTGCTTGTGTTCCCTCTCTCACTGTCTCTCTGTCAAATAAATACATAAAATCTTTAAAAAAAAGTAAAGATTTACATCCATTCTGAGAGTGAGAGAGAGCGCATGTTGGCAGGGAAAGTTTAAGGGGAGAGGGAAAGAGAGTCCCAAGCAGACTCTGCCTGGAGTGCAGACCCTGATGCATGGGCTTAGTCCCAAGACCTCAGCCATGACCTAAGCCAAAACCAAGAGTCGGATACCGAAGCGCCTGTGCCACCCGGAAATGTTATACTTTGATGTCAGGTATAAGTTAGTACAAAAACTTAATTAGCATACTTAATGTAAAAATATAGGCAGTGTGTGATTTCAGATTTAACTAATTTTTAGCCTATTTAGCCAAATAGGTTAAAAAGGAAGCTACTAAAACATATTCATATCTTTTTGTAGCGTGTTCTTCAGGATCCAAACGTTGCTGCATTCATGGTAGAACCAATTCAGGGTGAGGCGGGCGTCGTCGTTCCAGAGCCCGGTTACCTGATGGGCGTGCGAGAGCTGTGCACCCGGCACCAGGTCGCCCACCTTGCGCCTGCCTACCTCACTCAGGGCTGGGCTGGTAGTGTGGAAGCAAAGATGACATCACCTTTCCACTAGGGGGAAGGTGGAACTTTCTAGTGCGCTCTGTCAGCAGCGGGCACAGAAGCTGACTTTTTACTAGCTCTGGAAAGTGGCCAAGCCTGGGCTCAGGCAGAGCTGCAGACTTCCCCGGGCCCAAGGGTGGTTTCTTCCTCTCCACTCCAGCAGCCTGTGCTGTGGTCCTCCCCAGGCCCCTGGTTGTGTCCCTCTGCTCTCTTCCTCTTCCCACCGAGCTAGTACATATTTAAGAAGTAACTGTTTAAGAAATGTTTGGAATAAGCAAGTGAATTAATCTGTTCCCAGAGAGTAGTTCTATCCAAACCCTGCGGAATAGAGCAGAATGGGCCGCAGGGAGGGAGTGGCCTGACACAGGAGATAATTGTGTGTCTGCAGGATTTCCATAGGATGCTGTTGAACTTAAATCGGTAATTAAAAGGTTCTCACCAATCTGAGGGAATGTCAGAATGACAGATTTGTGTGGGGAAGGGTTCACTGTTTGTCCTGTGGAAACAAAATCAGTAATTAATGTATTCCCTTGTTTTCCAACAGGTTCTGTTTATTGCTGATGAGATACAGACAGGATTGGCCAGAACTGGAAGGTGGCTGGCTGTGGATCATGAAGGGGTCAGACCTGATGTGGTTCTTCTGGGAAAGGCGCTTTCCGGTGGCTTGTACCCTGTAAGTTGAAGGTTCAGCTTCTTTAGTCCCTACTCTTGTGAAGTCTGCCCTTAAGATATTTTTACGTCAGCCGATTGTGACAATGTGCCTTTCCCGTGGCTTGGTTACATGAAGTGCGCTGCAAGGCTCCCTGAACGTGTAATAGAAACATTTTAGCATTCCAGGGGGTCGATCGGCTTAGTTAACTTTACCCGGAGAACTGAGTGTACCTTGGAATTTGCTCCGGCATTTGTTTTGGATGGAAGCATTTTACCCGAAAGTACTTCTGTAGAAGCCTGTGCTTTTTCCCATTGTTCAGAAACCTAGCATTACCAATTGTCTAAAACTGTGACTGATTCATGTAGGGGTTGGGAAAAGAGTAATGTTTTGTTGTAGCTTCGTCCTTGAGTTTACTGTTCAGAGCCAGTCATTGTACTGGATGACAGGTAAAGGGCTCTGAACATAGCGCACGACTGTTTTCTAGGCAGTTAAACCAGGCATTTCACTTTGCAAGTGGAAAGAATTCTAAATTCTGTCATTGCAGAAACCGCTTTCTTCTTGGTTCCGAAATGCTCTTGTTCAGAGCCATCAAAATGTGCCTGACGAGCTCACACTGAGCCCAGGTTATCACCGGTTCGTCCCTGGCAGTTAGGATGAAAGATGCGTAGCCCTTGTTTGTGGAAGCTTCATGTCACATTTAATACCAGCTTCATAAATATTTGCTGAGAGTGGGAACGGTCAGTCCAGGAAATTACTTGGTTGGTCCTGAATTCTCTGTCTTGCAGGTGTCGGCGGTTTTGTGTGACGATGAAATAATGCTGACCATTAAGCCGGGGGAGCACGGGTCCACGTACGGGGGCAACCCGCTGGGCTGCCGAGTGGCCATTGCGGCCCTGGAGGTAACGGCCGATTCAGACCATTTGTCTGGTGTCTGTTTGTCTGGGTGGTGTCGACGTGGCTTTTACGTTTGAGCCCAGGGGCGTAATGAGAAATACAATGATTGCCAAGTATCACAGAACATGAAATCCAGAGGAGGGACTTTAGGGGCAAGGCATTCTCAAAAAGTAATTTAACCTTGGTCTTGTAGACGGGACTCCTGGGGGCTTCTGAGTTGCAGTCACCTGGAGCTTTGGGGCCAGAGGCCCTGGGTGGCTTTCAGAGCTTTTACTCTGTGAGCAGACCTGGCCCACAAGGCCAATTTTTTTTTTTTAAGATTTTGTTTATTTTATTTTGAGAGGAAGTAAGAGAGAGTGCCCAGAGGGAGAGGGAGAAGCAGACTCCCACTGAGCAGGGAGCCCGATGCAGGGCTGGATTCCAGGACCTTGAGATCACCATCTGAACCAAAGGCAGATGCTTAACTGACTGAGCCACCCAGGTGCCCCCCTCCTTTTTTTTTAAAGTGTAGATTTGAACACTTTTGGACTTATGCCTTGGGGACCTACTACAAGGCATAAAATTATGTGATCTCCAAGGATGGACTTTTTAGGGAAAAAAGTAAATGAACCTATAGTTTAAAAATTAAAGTATATTCAGTCCATTGATTTATTCAACTAATAAGATATCAGTTACATTAAATTTTCATTCTTATTTTGCCATGAAATCAGATTGATGATGGATTTGTGACTAAAGCAAGCTCTGTTTGAGCTTGTATATGTTTAACTAGAAACTAAACTGATTGGGCCGCCTGGGTGGCTCAGTCAAACATCTGACTCTTGGTCTCAGCTCAGGTCTTGATCTCAGGGTCGTGAGTTCAAGCCCCACGTTGGGCTCTATGCTGGGTGCGGAGCGTACTTAAAAGAAAAGTGAAACTGGGATAGACTTTGGAAAACAAATGAAAGTTCAGTGACTCTGGTCTTTATCTGATTGTGTTCTTCCTTTGCTTATCGTCCATGTTCCTTTCCAAAGAATGACCTAAACCAGGGCAATCTTAGCACTTGTGTAATTTCTCGTTAAACACAGGTTTTGGAAGAAGAAAACCTGGCCGAAAATGCAGAGAAGATGGGTAATATCCTGAGGAATGAGCTCATGAAGCTGCCGTCTGACATCGTCACAGCTGTCAGGGGGAAAGGATTGCTAAATGCTATTGTTATTCGGGAAACCAAAGGTACGGATGTGAACATTTTACTCCAGATGTTATTTTTATGGGAAGGACTGAAACACTTGTGTTATTTTATCTGGTTGTTGGGTTCCCCTGTTTGAAGTTGTTGACTAGGTCTGTTAGGCAGAGTCTCATCTGACTTCTGTTAATGGCCTGTGGAAATAGAGCCCTTTCCTCCAGGAAGGACTGAACTACTCTGCGACGTCACTTATTGTTCTGTCTTGGGCTTGTGACGCAGCATTTGGTGTCCAGTTACTTGCTGCCACAGCCTGCACATGGCATTTCCCGGGAAGCTTCCTGTTCGCTGTCTTCCCCGCCTCCCTGCAGGACTTGGTATGACAGTGAAGGTGGCAGGAGTAGCAGTCGGAGCGACGCGTGACAGTGATGGCGGTGACCGGAGTACCCCCCCACCGCCACTTGCTGAGTGTGGGCTGTCTCAGTACATCATCTGTACTGGCCCTCAAGGGCTCCTTGCTGGATTTTCCTGTGATAACCCTTCCTTTTAAAGCAGTGATTCCCACCTTGGCAACACTTCAGAATCACCTGAGGAACTTTTCATTTTTATTTTATTTATTTATTTTAGAGAGAGAGCGCGTGCGGCAAGTGGGGGGGGCAGAGGGAGAGAGAGAATCTTAAGCAGCGGACTCCACACTGAGCGCAGAGCCCAACATAGGGCTCGAGCCCATGACCCTGAGATCACGACCTGAGCCGAAACCAAGAGTCGGACGCTTAACTGACTGAGCCACCCAGGCACCGCCTGAGGAACTTTTCTGTTTTTTCTTTTTTTAGTTTTTCCCCTGAGGAACTTTTATTATTTTATTATTATTTTTTTAAAGATTTTATTTATTTATTTGACAGAGAGACACAGCCAGAGAGGGAACACAAGCAGGGGGAGTGGGAGAGGGAGAAGCAGGCTTCTCGCGGAGCAGGGAGCCCGATGTGGGGCTCGATCCTAGGACCCTGGGATCATGACCTGAGCCGAAGGCAGACGCTTAACTGACTGAGCCACCCAGGCGCCCCCCTGAGGAACTTTTAAAAACAATCCAAACAGCCTCCCCTCGGAGATTCTGATTTGATGGGTCTGGGCCGGGCCCAGGCATTGGCCGAACCCTTTCGGTGATTCTGACCTGCAGCCAGAGTTGAGAATCATACTCTAAAATGAGGACAGTCTCTTTCCACAAGCTCAGGAGGCAAATCCATCTTAGGAATGTGTAGTGTTCCCTGAGTTTGAGTATTGCTCATTCTCTGCCTGTTAACTTCTCTGTGTCCTGCCCAAATTCTTTTTGCACTGGTTCCTCATAATTAATACGACAGCCTTAGCACATAATTTTTTTGCCTGGTGTTTTTCATTTTTGAAAAACGAATAAGTCTGTATGTCTGATCAGACCATCCAAACCTAGTTATGCACTTGCTGAAAAATAACCTCATTTTTGAGAATAAGAACAAAGTGCTCTTGCAACTCTGAACGTCTTTCTCTAGTAGGCCCTGGGAGTTTTCTTCTGCCAGGTGGCTCTAGCCCATCTGTACTGCAAGGGGATGCTCAAACATTTGTCTTTCATCAGCATGCATGTTTGGCCATTTTTCTTTAGATTATGATGCTTGGAAGGTGTGTCTACGACTTCGAGATAATGGAC